CCCCAAAACCCCAAAACCCCTTAGACTTAAGATATTAATAAAATTGGAAAGCATTAAAGTTCGAGTTTATTGAAATTAAATTCAAATATATTCAGATATCTTCTCAATTGCTTTGGACATTTTCCTTGTAAATATCAAGCAATGCTATGCTATTTCTTCATTTCTTTTTCTTTCGAAAGCTTCTTCCTCTTCTCTGCTTAAGAATGTTCTTATTGAAAACCCTGCAACTGCTGCTTGATTAATTTGATAGTTTGAATCTCTAGCCTGCAAGCCTAATCCTAATCCATAGCCACTCATTCTTATATTGGCTGTCAATCTCTCCAGTTGACCATCAATAAGATCCTGCATCATATAAGGCTTTTTACTCAATTAAAAGCCTTAAGTGCATTTTTACTTTCCCTCTGCTAAATTCTTTTGAATCCGATACAAAATGTAATCTACTCTCTTATTCTCATTTCTGATCAGATTAGCTATTAAATCAACTAAAGTTCTCGAGGACTAAATTTACTTTATTCTCCATTAATCACGATATGATAGTTGCCAGTCATCCTCATAAGAGTTTTAAAAGGGCTAGCCAATGCCATATAGATTCCAGATGTCATAATGCTCAGAATCACTGCAGAAATCTTATCTAAATTTCATAATTATTTAAGTGGAATCTTCATGATTTTCTTTCACTGAAATATAGTGCATTAGATCTAAAGTTAAATCTATATATTCTTTTGGCAGGAAGCATAGGGATCTTAATTGGTAATATATCATTTCTTGCTATTCATAATTTACTAAATTTTAATCGTCAGCTAGGTCTCTTGGAGTTTGCTTAGATAAGATATCCATTATTTTATAGCTATAGTTGTTAAAACAAAGTCGAAATTCAATAGTTGGATCAATAGCATTTATGATTCTTTTTATCTTATTAACAAATGCCATCCCTTTTTTAGAAGCAAAAAATATATGTCTATTGTATAAACTGAATACTTTTACTATTGATTTGAAGCAAAGATCTAGAGTAAATTGTTAGAGTTCTTCATCATTTCCATAAAGCTGTTCCTTTGGGATTAAAAGCATACCAAAAGATACCATAGCTGTAGCTTCTGCAATGAAGGTTCTAAGAATGAATACCTCATAGTTTATTTCGCTCATAGAATTAAAAGTGCCTTCAATGTATAGCTTTAAATTAGTTATTTTAATTCTATCATCGTCCTTGAGCATCTAGTGCAGATAAATAAGATATGCATTCCTTATAAAATTCCCATCTCTATTAAAGCTTGTTTTCTTTGGAGGCTCTTCCTACTTCAAGTTATTAATTTCAGCTTTATTCCTTTTCTATCTGTTTATTAATTCGTCTATTGAATCTGCAACAGCTTCTTCTTTGCAGATTTTAATGACTTTTATTTCCATATCATTTGTAATGATTTTTCTCAGTTAGTTCTCTAGATTTAATCTCATCATAGTTCTGGTTCTCTCAAGTTCTAGATATCTCTGTGCTTTTAGCATTTTCCTAAACTAAGAGTCATAGTGATCATATGAGCACCCCACTAATTCTTACTTGTCCTCATCATAGATCATATTTCCATCTTTATCAAACTTCCTTTTTCTTTTAAGAGCCTGCTGAGAGTTATTCTCAAATGTGCTAATGATATTTCTGAATTCATCTTAGACCTCTCCACTTATCGGCAATATGGAGCCATTACTTGTATTTTTATTTGTAGTGAATAGAACTTAATTATAAAAGTTGAAGTCATCCTTGTGTGCAGCATGATAATTTCTCTAAATTTAGACCTTACCCTCATCCTCAGTGATTTTTAGTACTTCTATTTCAAAACTGCAATGACTTCTATCAAATTTATCTGGATCATCTATAAGTTTCCTACAGATAAACTTTTGATTAAATAGGTTTGGAGAGTTAGCTGTATAGGGACTTTTAAGTTAATTGCTTGAAGACTTTTTCAGATAAAGTATATAGCCGTTATGACAGCAGGCTGGATGCTCGGAATCCTGATCAAAGTAAAATATTCTATCTGGATGCTTGATTGACATTTTCAGAATAGGCAGAATCTTCATAGCAAACATTACTGATTTGTGAGAAGGTCTATTTAATGCTGCCATCGCTCTGAGACTCATATTTGAGATCTCTTTATGCAGGGAATCCTTATGAAAATTTTAAATTCTCTATTCAGGTGGTAAGGCAACTTATCCAACTTGCTCTATTAAAGCAACTTAGTAATTATTTTAATAATCCATTGAAACTTAGAATCTCTGTCTGATAGAATAAAAGTAAACTAATAATATGCCTTACTTTTAAAAATTAAGTTCCCCACTGTATATGAATATTTAAATTTACCTAACTCAATTTTTATTTTGCAATATTGGAATACGGGGTTTTGGGGTTTTGGGGTTTTGGGG